GCCCGAGTCCGTCGACAGCACGCTCGCGATGTTGCGCGGCGACGAGGCCGACGGGGCCGCCGGCTTCGCGTGGATCGGGCTGCTGCGGCCCGACGACGCCGAGATGAGCCACGTGGCGCGCGAGTTCGGGCTGCCCGCCCTCGCGGTCGAGGACGCGGTGCACGCCCACCAGCGTCCGAAGATCGAGTCCTACGACGACGTCGAGTTCGTCGTGCTCCGCCCCGCCTGGTACGTCGACGAGGAGGAGGACGTCGCCGTCGGCGAGATCCACCTGTTCCTCGGGGCCGACTTCGTGGTGGCCGTGCGCCACGCCGACACGCCACCGCTGTCCGCCGTGCGCCGGCGTCTCGAGGAGGAGCCCGAGCTGCTCGGGCACGGACCGCGCGCAGTCCTCTACGCCGTCCTCGACCGCATCGTCGACGACTACCGGCCGGTGCTCGCGGGCCTGCGCGAGGACATCGACCAGATCGAGACCCAGGTCTTCGGTGGCGACCCCAGCGTCTCGCAGCGCATCTACCAGCTCTCGCGCGAGGTCATCGAGTTCCAGCGTGCCTCCGATCCGCTGCGGGGCATGCTCGACACGCTGCTGCGCCACACCGACGACGACGAGCGGGTCGACCTGCACCGCAGGCTGCGCGACGTCGCCGACCACGTCGCCCAGGTCACCGAGCAGGCCGACGGCTTCCGCCAGCTCCTCGAACGGCTGCTCACGGTCAACGCCTCGCTGATCGGCCAGCGCCAGAACGACGAGATGCAACGGCTCTCCGAGACCAGCCTCGCCCAGGGCGAGGAGGTCAAGAAGATCTCCTCGTGGGCGGCCATCATCTTCGCCCCGCAGCTCGTCGCCGCGATCTACGGCATGAACTTCGAGCACATGCCCGAGCTGGCGTGGACCGCGGGCTATCCGTTCGCGCTCGTGCTGATGCTGGTCGTCGCGGTGGTGCTCTACGGGATCTTCCGCTGGAGGGACTGGCTGTGAGCACCGAGACCGACGAGCAGCGGGCGCGCCTGGCCGGGTCGTTCGGCGGGGCGGCCGCCGACTACGACCGGCTGCGCCCGACCGCGACGCCCGCGGCGCTCGACCGGCTGCTCGCGACGACCCCGGCCGACGGCACCGTCCTCGACCTCGCCGCCGGCACGGGCCTGCTCACCCGGCTGGTGCGCGAGCGCGGGTTCGACGTCGTCGCCGTCGAGCCCGACGACCGGATGCGGGCCGTGCTCGCGGAGGCGACGCCCGGGGCCGACGTCCGCGCGGGGACGGCCGAGGCGATCCCGCTGGCCGACGCGTCGGTCGACACGGTGCTGGCGGCCTCGGCGTGGCACTGGTTCGACGCCGAGAAGGCCGTCGTCGAGATCGGGAGGGTGCTGCGCCCGGGCGGGGTGCTGGGGCTGTTGTGGAGCTATCCCGAGCCGGACGTCGACTGGGTCCGGGCCCTGCGGACCATCGCCCACCCCGACCGCATGTGGCCGGGCCTCGACCGCGCGCACCGGCCGTTCGCCCTCCCGGCCGGCGCCCCCTTCGGCCCCGGCGAGCGGGAGACGTTCCCGCGGACCGGGTCGATGAGCCGCGACGACCTCGCCGACATGGTCCTGACCTACAGCCGGGTGCTCACGCTGCCCGCCGACGAGCGCGCCCAGGTCCGGGCCCGCGCCCGGGCCTTCCTCGACGAGCGCCCGGAGCTCGGCGACGACGACCCGGTGGCGGTGCCGTTCACGACGTTGGTCTGGAGCGCCGTCCGGGACTGACGCCCGCCGCGACCGGTCAGGCCCCGGGCGCCGACGGCACCGGCGACTCGACGGGCATCGCGTCGAGCCCGGCGCGGATGCCCTCGGCGAGCAGGTCGAGGTGCTCGCGCTCGACGATCAGCGGCGGCGAGACCGCGACCCCGCGGCCCAGCCCGCGCACCAGCACCCCCGCCGCGCGCGCCCCGGCGAGGAGCTTGTTCGGGGCGTCGGGCACCGCGGCCAGCACCTCGGGCTCGAGCTCCACCGCGGCGAGCAGGCCGAACCCGGCCCGCACCTCGTGCACCAGCGGGTGCGACGCGAGCGGGGCGAGCGCCTCGAGCAGCGGGGTCTCCAGCTCCTCGCCACGGGGGATGAGGCCCTCGCGCTCGTAGATGTCGAGGGTCGCCAGCCCGACCGCGCAGCACGTCGGGTGCCCGGAGTACGTCGGACCGTGGCGCAGGGTGCGCTCGCCCGGAGTGGTCCACCACGGCGCGGCGACCCGGCCGGCCACCACCACGCCGCCCAGGGGCAGGTAGCCGCTGGTCACCCCCTTCGCAAAGGTGATCATGTCGGGCCGCACCCCGAAGCGCTCGATCCCGAACCAGGTGCCGAGGCGCCCGAACCCGCAGATCACGGAGTCGACGACGAGCAGCGCGCCGTGCAGGCGGCAGAGCTCGGCGACCCCTTCGAGGTAGCCCTCGCTCGGCAGGTGCACCCCGCCCGCGCCGGTGACGGGCTCGAGGACGACCGCCGCGACGCGCTCGGGGCCGACCTCGGCGAAGACCTTCTCGACGCCGTCGAGGTCGTGCAGCGGGGCGACCGTGTTCTCGCCCGCGAGCACGCCCCAGCCCTCGCGGTTCGGCGGGATGCCGGTGATCGAGGTCCCGTAGCCGTGGGTGCCGTGGTAGCCGGTCTCGCGGGAGATGACGTGGGTGCGCTCGGGCTCGCCGTGCGCCTGCCAGTACCCACGGGCGAGCTTGACCGCGGTGTCGATCGCGTCGGCGCCGCCGGAGCCGAAGAACACCTTCGCGTCGTCGACCGGAGCGAGCGCCGCGAGGCGGTCGGCCAGCTCGAGGGCCGGCCGATTGGCGATGTCGGCGAAGCACGAGTAGGCCTCGAGCTTCGCCATCTGCGTCGCGGCGACGTC